AAACTCTAGAGGGAAAAAAAAAACAAAACATTTTATTGTCAATGTACATAAAATGTGTAGCTCTTCAGAAAGTGTAATTTCTAATGACTAGGTATAGGTGTGTGTGTGTGTGAGTGTGTGTGTGTTTGTGCGTGCGCGCATGCATTTGTGCACAAAATGTAGTATGTTAGAATCAAGGAATTTAAATAGCTTTATATAAGTAATTTCTACTTAAATTCTTTTAAAATAAAGTTATTTCCGTTTCATACAGAAGAAATCAACAGACTAAAATTATCAGCATCTGTTTTCTTTGAGCAAGTCAACTATTGTACCAAAGTCAGGACTCTGAATTTCAGGCCTGATATGATCATCAGGTTATGATTTTTAGGTAATGAAAGATCTACCCAGAATGGTGCCTTGAGCAGTGAAGGAGTTTCCTGAGAGAAGAGAATGCACCCAGCCATGCTCATGGCCTTGGTCTCCACTAAGACAATAGTCTTCCTTAAGCCCTATTGTGATATTCTGGTTATAAACAATATGCATAGTTCATAGATGGTATTAAATATATTTGTTGAAAAAAAATAAATGGAAGTAGTTCATATTCTTTCAAATGTCTGGACTCTTTCATGTTCAGATTGATTAAATTAATGATTTTATTTTGCACCTTGGTTTTAAAACATCTTGTATTAAGATTTACATATATTATTTTGTAATACTTTACATTTGACCATGCATATACCCCCATATTTGGGTTATTTTATTTGATAGTTTTTTTTTACTACAGATCTTATTTTGCCTGATTATTTCATTTGGATTTCTAAAACTACATTATGAAATACCTTAATTATTTAAATTAGGAACAGATTAATTATCTCCAGTGTACAAACTCAAATTAATTTCATTATAAACCTGAGGTTTAAATTGATTAATCTTGTAGTGTTTAAGGGACCACGTGGTGTTTTTTTTTTCTTTTTTTATCCTTAAGGAAAAGAGTATGTTTGATTTGATGGATCACTTTCCATTGCACCAGATATGCTAATAGGAGCAAGAAATTTGCAAGAAAACTTTAGATGCATTTCATAAGCCAGCCAGAAACCTGTGTGTCTGGGGCTTCTGGGGGAACAATCTGTGAGTCATTTTAAAAAAACAAACACACTCATAATCAGAGTGCATGTTGTTACCATGGCAATTAGGCCTGTTGAGTTGGCTTGCTTATGTTCCTGTAGAGGGAAGAGGGGGAAAGAATTCAGAGCTTTGACTATCAGCTCTGGTTTGCCTATTGCGGGAGAGAATTTAGGGGTTTTTTGAGAACACACTGGCATAGTCATCCTGACTATAGCCTGGCTTTCTTATTGAATATGAACTAGCTATATTAGTGTTGGGCATTGCAGTTCACAGGGGAGAAAAAGACCAACTGGCATTCCCTTGAGAGTGGGGAAATAGTTTCTTTTTCTGATATATAATTACATGTAAGTCTCTAAGGTCAACCTGGTGGAGCATCTGTGTGCCTGTGCACAAGACTAATGATCCTCTAACAGGCACCAAATGCTGCTGGCAAAACATTACTTTAGATTTAAATGATCCTCAGTGTATTGCCCTATACAGTTATAGACTGCTTTTAATGAGACTATTGTTCTGATCTGATTCATAAGTAGACCTGGTGCCTTTATTTTGTGGGCTGGGTATGACTCTGTTATCTTGAACAGCCATCTTATAATGCAGACCCATGGGTCACCTGGGAGCCTGGGGAAATTATGGGAGCTCTGCCAAATCTGTCATTACTCTAGGAGAAAATAAAATCAAAGCACACGCTTGGTTGATGGGCATCCAAGTGTACTTGGGCCAGTGGATTGGCCATTGGGATTTTATATAAACACCAATGATTCACTGAAGTACCGGTGTGAAGGCACACACACAACTGTCAAAAATGTTTCTAAAATTCACTTTAAGAAGTCTGGGCATACTTTTAAATATACAACTGTAATACGGTGGCTGAAATTTATTCTTTAGAGCATACATTAAGCAGATTTTATTAGAGTTGGAACAACTTTTCCTTAATAAAACTTTTTTTTTCAAAAATCTTTGAATAAGGTGAGTTTTGATTAAAGGGTAATTCAAACTCCGAATTTATGTGTGTGTGTGTGTGTGTGTGTGTGAGTGTGTGTTGGTTGTATCCCAGCATATGAAATAATAAGAAATTCTAAAATACATATTTTATTCTTATATGTATTCTTATAGGTAGAAGAAGGAATATGTTGCCCAAATTTCATTATAGGTTGAATTTTTTTTAAGATTATCACATATGTATTTTTCCCATACACCTAGCAGCAGAGAAGCTGGGAAAAATAGGTATTTTGATATATAGCTTATAGCATAGCTTAAAATTCTATTAAAAATATAGAAGAAAAGAAAAGCATATTTTGGGGCATATCTAGCAATTTCTGCCATTTCTATAATCCTATAAAAGAGAGGAAATGTGTGGTTTACATTTTTATGTATTTTCTTCCAGTCCTTTTCTAAACAAAAAAAAATGTGTGTATATATATACACAAACATACATACATACATACATATGTATCAGAATGAGAGATGTATATTGCATACTAGAAAATATTGTTTTCACACTATATATTATAGTATGTACATATCATATTTATAATGTTATATGTTAGCATGTATGATATATTAGAAAATAGTATATATTTAAAAAGCATAGATACTATGTGTTAAAAAATATGATGTACAGGAATACACCCTTATCCTTGGGGACATGCACCATGGCCCCCAGTGGATGCCTGAAGCTGAAGATAATATCAAACCCTGTACATACTATGTTTTTTTCCTATACATTCATACCTATGGTAAAGTTTGATTTATAAATTAGGTGTAGTAAGACATTATCAACAATAATAAAATAGAACAATCTTAACAATGTACTCTCATAAAAGTTAGGTGAATATGGTCTCTTTCTCTCTCAGTTATACTATACTCACCTTCTTGTGATGATATGAGATGATACAATGCCTACATGATAAGAGGAAGTGAGGTAAATTGTGTAGGCATGGTGAAGCTGTGTTGGTCTCGATTATTATATCCACTGTCGCAAGATATCATAACTCTTGTGTTCAATTAACCCATAGGGCTCACACCTATGGGTTAATTGAACACAAGAATTATGATATCTTACAACAGTGGATATAGTAATTGAGACCTTTACAAAGTGACTAAGAGTGGGTAGCATATACAGTGTGGATACAGTGCACAAGAGGATGATTCATGTCCTGAGTAAGATAGAGAAAGCAAGGATGAGATTTTATCATACTTCTCAGAATGACCTGCAATTAAAGCTTATTAATTATTTATTCTGGAAATGTTATATTTAATATTTTCAAATAGTGGTTGACTACAAGTAACAGAAAGCAAGGAAAGTAAAACCTCAGATAAGGAGGGATTAGTCAATATACAAATTTAAATTAGAATATTAGTTGAAGCTACCTTTTTGATAACATTTTATTATGTCTTATTTCACTTAATTGTTTCACATGCATTTTCATCATTTAATTTTGTTGTGTCCATTGTTTGTTCTACATGTGGAGAGTCTTGTTTTACTTAGAAGAGTGTATTATTGTTAATAAGATTATTTCTAATGTCTTCATAATAATTCTTTGTCTATTTGTTTAATTCAAATTAAGGAGTGATGTCACTAAAATAATGATTGAGAATATATTTGAGACTTTTGATAAATAGTGCTAAACTATTTCCCAGAGAAGCCATGCCCATATATACTATCAGCAATAATATATTGGTCACAGAGCACCCTTGAACAGATTTATTTTGCAACTCAGTCATTGTTATCCCCAGGGTTCATTCTCTGAAAATAGGTTGTTTTTTGCCCTTGGCTTGTTTTCTTTTCCTTTGCTGTCATTAATCATGAGATAATGGGTTTTTAATAACTTTGATTCTTTAAAAAACATGTGACCCCTTATAGTAGCCTGAGAATAGTGTTAGTTGTGTTGAGATGTAGCCTACATGCCAGTCTCAAGCAGTGTGGGATCTCTAGAGATGCTGCTGTTTATTTGGCCCTGAGACCCAATCTGAATTTGATTTCCACCTTCAGTTGTAGTACTCTCAATATGAGATACCTCTTTGTGCTTGCTGAGACTTTGGCAATTCCCTTTAGACTGAGCATTCTGTAGTTGGAAGAGGAAGGAAGCTCCTCTATATAGGAAACTTCTGTATATGAACCACACCAGGCAGTAGGCACAATTAGGCCACCTCTGTTCAACATTCACAAGACACATTAGTGACTAAGGGCATAGGTGCCTTTCACCTCTAAGCAGCCTGCATGAAGCTTTGGATGCAATAAATACTTTCATAACCACTGGCTTGTCTTAAATTACCCTTTTATAGAGGCAGATGACACAAACAATATGGACTCCAACTCTGTCCCTAACACTGGAGCAGGAGTGTGCTTCCTCTGCTGCCTTGGAGTGTACAGGTTAGGTCAGGAGCAAAGCTTGTTCTTATTCATCCCATGGTGCCCAGCCTCTGTTACTAAGCTCTGTTTCTCCTAGGTCCCTAAGTGTACTTTTTGTTTTCATGCTTTCGTGCAAGCTAGTGAATTTCACAAAAGAGAAATTCTTATTTCACATACTATATATCCTTCTTAAAGGAAAGAGTTTACAAAATGTTTTTAGGTCCTGAAATGTAAACCTGTGAGACTCCTTGCCCTTCCAACTATACTGCCATTAGCATCAATTCTGATTATGGAAACATTCATTTGCTCATTTAGCTCTTATGTATTTTGCTATTTCTAATTTTCTTTTCAGAATTTATTAGCATAAATTAAATGATTTCTTCTCTTTTAATGTTTCATTTGTACATTATAACTCTACATAGTGGGGTTCATTGTGACTATTCATATATGCACAGAAAAGGGAAATAATGAGGAACTATATTGAAGGAAATCATTTTATTTCTCGTTTTCTTAAGAAATACATTTTCCTCTGTTTTCTCAACAGCCAGATCTGCCAGTGAGCCTCAGGCTTTGGAAACTGAAGAGGTAAGAGTTATGAAATATTTTTTTTAGGATCTTCTTGAATTTTACCAGAACTATAAAAGGGAAAAAAATCTTAAGTATGTCTATAGATGAAATCATTTAGACATGTTATGTTTTATGGAAAAGAAATATTCATACACTCTTAACAATATTGACATGACTATGGGATTCAAAGGAAAAAATGTTTCTCTTTAGTGATAGATAAAATTGGATTTTTACCCCAAGTTTCCCATTATCTAAAAATCTGAGCTAGAAAACCTTTGAAGTTGCTGCCTTGACAGAATATGCTTAGGGTATCAAACATGATTAATGGTTTGCAGACACTGGGAACATACCCTGTGCAAGACAGAAGCTCAAAGGAGATTAGATCAAAGAATGTAAACCCTGCTCTTAGCAGATGGGTCGTAGACATTGGAAGGACTTTTCTTGTACCAATAACAGTAATAACAGAAGGTCAATCTCAGCTGGTGGCTATTCTTCTGGAAGAAGCACTATTAGCTTTTGAAACTAGCTAACACCATTTATATCTAGTTGTAGACTCAAAAGGGTCTCCATAATTCTGAGACAGATGATAAGTGTTTGTCTGCTCCCATGAAGGTAATACTTTCCTTTAGTCAATGAATTTGGTTTTACCCCACCCCCCATTTTAAAAGTTAACTTCACTATGAAGAATTTCAAGCATATACCAAAGCAGAGCTAGTACCACAATAAACTCTGATATCCTCATCACCAGTTTCAGTAGCTGTCAACTCAGGGCCGGTATTGCTTGATTTATATTCCCATCCACTTCTCTTCTATACCCATTGAACCGTATGACAGCTTGAATTTGACTGTTGGATTTCTAATTTTTATTTACACTGTCTAATGGGCTACAGAAAATGCTAATAAAAAGTAAACCTACTTATGGCTCAGTTTACTAGAACTAGTCATTCATTTATTTACTCATTCAACAAATATTTATTGTTTATTAGGTAGCAGATCTTCCTTAGAATTGAGGGTCAGTTTTCCTTTTCTCACATTTACAAGGTTGTCAGATTTGGACTTTTGATATCTGCAATGAAGTTATCTGTTAGACACTGACAGGAGGAAAAGTCAGCATACATCCTACAACTGTGATTGTTAAGGTAGACATTTTAGAATATGCCACAATTCTTTGGAACCTGTTTTTGACAGTTTTTTTATTCATTTTTTAAATTTTTTTTTGTGAGAGATGGAACCTAGGGCCTCATGCATGCTAGGCACGCGCTCTACTGAGCTACACCTCCAGCCCTACTTCTTCACTTTTTAGTACACTGGGAGTGTAAAAACAACACAAAACCAAACTTATCCCAGTCCTCTAAACAGTACCTTTCTGTTTCATCACGAATGTTCATCCAGCTGTCCACCTCCCTTTTAAGAAAAGCTCTGAGAGAGCGGGCGTGGTTTCTAACTTCTTAACAATTTTGCCTCCAGCATGTAGCCGGCATGTCTGGCACTTGTTATAAATTTAATAAAACCATTGAATGAATGAACAAAAGAATGAATGCCAGATGCTGGGCATATAAAGATGAAAAATGCACAGGCCTGGCTCAGTTGCTTAGTCTCCAGGAGGAGAAACTGGGCCCAAGGAGGCCTTTGTGGTCAAACTGTGAGCAGAGAGCACACATACAGGAAAGGGCCAGGCTGAAGGCAAAGTGGGGAAAAGCGCCAGGCATTTGAGCAGTGGTATGAAGTGCCATCAGGCAGAGGAGGGAACATGTGATCACATGTGAAAGTACAGAGAGGCCCCAGAGAGCATAGGGCACTCTGAGAACCTTCTAGAATTTAGAGTGGCTATGGCTGGAGAAGCAGGCCAAGGAAGCCTAGGATGGACCCGCATGTGCTTTACTCCTGTGTCCAAACTCTATCTTCAGGGTGGGAAGCCAGGAAAGGGAACCTGATCAGAATTTTTCTTTGAAAGGATAATTCCTTAGGCAGCAGGGTAAGTGGAAAGGGAAATCAGTGGGGGTTTAGGTCTGGAAATGAACTGGATTTGGGAGAACTGATGGAATTGTTGTATAAAGTGAGAGGTAACCGAGAGGAAAACATCAAGAATCACTCCCAGATTTGTCTTGTGGAAGATCAACTGAGGAATTAGAATGGTGCTATAAAAGCAGGAAGAGAAGTGGCATTCAGATCTGAGGAGTAGCCTCATCCAAGTGGGTATGTCCCACAGAGTGCTCCCTGCTGGGCAGAGCAGAGCGTGGGCTGCAAGCCAGAATCTCCAGAAAAGCACTGATGCTCACACCCTACCCAGACCAGTGGAGTAAGAATCTTGGGGGCGTGGTGGGGAGGGAGGTGGGAGGGTGAGGGTGGGAGTCTGGACAATAGTAGTTTCTAAAAGCTCTTTGGGTAATTTTTGAAAAGTAACCAAGGTTGAGAATCTCTGGTCTAGATCTGGTTAGAAGTAAACCGTGTGTGCACATACATGCATATACTCTCTTAAGACTGTATAGCTGTACTTAACATCTTTTAGGTGAGGGTCAACACACCCCTAAATTCTACCAAATATTACTAATAATTAAGACTGTTTTAAAAGAATATGATGTTATTTGATGTATGTGCTGATTTTTATTCATGCTAATAAGTATACTGAAAATTTTCAAATCAATCAAGCTGTTTGTCAGTGGGAATTACCAGCCTGTTTAATGGGATAATACTTCATTGTGCTTTTTGATGTACTGATTCTTGGCTCATAAAAGGCCAGTGGTGTCTTCCAATCACTGTGACATCCAGAATGCCCTAAGGATATTGAGAACTGTCGTTTCTTAGCATATAACTTTAAGGAGGTTATTTGTCGCTTTCCACTCTCATTTAAAAGCATTTTTTTTTGAGAGAGAGAGAGAGAGAGAGAGAGAGAGAGAGAGAGAGAGAATTTTTTTAATATTTATTTTTTAGTTTTCGGTGGACACAACATCTTTATTTTAATTTTTTTTATGTGGTGCTGAGGATCGAACCCAGCGCCCCACGCATGCCAGGCAAGCGTGCTACCACTTGAGCCACATCCCTAGCCCTAAAAAAGCATTTTTCCTTCATACAGAATTATTGGTTTCAGTTATGCGCAGAGGCTCCTTATGTAAGTAGTCTCTGGGCTAACAAGCTGAAGAGAGAAACTAAACAAAGTAGACAACTAAAAGGAAGTATTGTTTTGTATGGTCAGAAGGATTTGTAGTATATTTGGTCTAGTACTAAGTCTGTTTTTTAAAGTCTATACAGAGGAACAAATTAAACACTAGTAAGAAATGGTCAAATATTGAGGTCTGAAGCAAAATACTACTAAGGCATTTTGCAAATTGCACAGCAGCAGTGATGAGAGATGTATTAGTTTTCTATTGCTGCTGTAACAAATTATTATCAACTTAGTGGCTTAACAGTACAAATTTATCTTACAGTTCTGTGGGTGAGGTTCTATAGGGATTTCACTGGGCTAAAAACAAAGTCTCAACAGGGCTACATTTCTTTATGGAGGCTCTAAGGGAGAAGCCACTTCCTTGTATTTTATAGCTTCTAGAAGCCCCCTTCCTGCATTTTCAAAACCAGAAACATTGCATTTCTGTGTGTCTTTATACTGTAGTCACATCTCCTTCTGACTCTGAACTCAGACAGACAAGGTTGTCTGATTACAAGGGCCCATAAGATTGGACACAACTCAATAAACCAGGATAAACTCCTCATCATAAGATCCTTAATTTAATCATACCTTCAAAGTGCCTTTATCCAGATAAGGTTACCTATTCACAGGTTTCAGGGATTAGGACATGAACATACTTAGGGCTGTTGTTCTGCCTACTATAAAGTGAAGAGATTAATGGTTCAGAATGGTAGAAACTTCACACAGTACAGATAGGATCATCTGTAACATTTAATCACATAGGATTAAATGTAATATTTAATCACACAAGACTGAGAAGGTCCTGGCTTCCCAAAATAATGAAGCAAGTTTTTGTCTTGATTCTGTAATTCCTGTTTTATAGGTTCTGGTACTGAAGCCTCTTGGTTTTCTTAGAGAATTTGGCAATGGAGCAGGTAGACAGGTTGAAGTTCAATGGCCCCTTTCGTGGCCTGCTTTTCTGGTACTATAGGTGTGGCCTCTGGAGTTTGCTACTCTTGGCATTTCTCCAACTCTGGAGTTTGTCTACTGCACACAGGATCCAAAGTCTTTGAATAGGACCCAAGAAATGTGAGGTTTGTATTTTATGCTGTTATGGCTGCCTGTCATTATGCATTATTTATTAGATTCTAACTGTGGAAAATGGGGTGGGGGATAATATTTTAGAACCTCACTCTAGTGGCATTTATTATAGTCAGTTTCTAGGTATGGTTTTATTTTCTCCATGCATTAGGTGGGTCATTCTTACAAAGCAAGAAACCATTTCTTCCCTGGTGAGTGAAATAGATCACTGGATTATTTTTTGAAAACAATCTTCAGAATGAAACATGGCTGGAAATTTTTGGTGGAGATTTTCCGTTTTTCAGCTATTTTTGCAACTACTTCCCTTTCTATCCACTTTTAGACACTCCAGCAATACAGATCAGAAGTCCAGGCCTAGGGCTAGCAGGAGGGCACCAAACTGTCCTGATTTGCCCAAGACTGAGGGATTTTCTGGGACAGAGGACTTTCAGTACTGAAACTGAGGGAATCTCAGGCATGTTGAGATATTTGTTCACCCTAGATATTTAACAAAATGGCTCCAGTAGAAAGTAACAGTCAGTTTGATGAATTGTTAAAATATAAATATAATATAAATTGTTAAAATATAAATAATGAAGTAACCCTCAAAGTTTGGGTTAAACTGATAGTGAATTCAACTCCTTTGGAAAACTCTACATCTACTCATAGTTACTAGGTCCTAATTGTATTCATGAGTTCTGCATCCATGGATTCAAATAACCATTGTTTGAAAATATTTGAAAAAAATAATTGCTTCTGTACAATACTCATCACTATTCCTTAAACAATACAGTATAACAGTCATTTACATAGC